TTTAAAAAATTTCGGGTTTAACTGACAAAAAGAAGCGAGAAAATCTGTCACTGGCAGTATTACATCGAAGTTTTGTTTCAGTAGAAGAACATGAATAAGGTGATGTGTCTGCGAGCGAGTTGTATGTGACAATTCGTACCAATGCGTAGTTTCGGATGTGACACTCGCTAAGGAAGCAGTGGACATCCGCTGGCGTGCTGTATTTCCCGATTCTTACTGACCAACCGATGTTTGATCCTGAACGAGTACCTCGTTTAAGAAGCGCGTCGCCAACATTGATGTTTTTCCGCTGCAACTGACGCGTTGATGCATTTCCACTCTGAAAACCCACATCATCTGCTCCAATTGTTTATTCGTCAGTGCTTCATGCAAGGAAAAATCAAAGATTCTTAGCTGTAAGCGCTTCCTTATTACATTAAAAAGTAAATTATTTCGTACAGGTAGATGTGTAACGAAAGTATTATTAATTGTGTGTTGTTTATAGTTGGCAGTCAGTTATTAAGCATGATTCACTTCCGTCATAACCATTCACATTCGTTGACATATCCATTGTTCCTGCTTAAGACGCACTCATGTTGTGCTATTCGTGCAGTGGCACATTCATTCGCCCATCCATCCCATCTTGTTAGAAAACCAAACATAATTGGTGGACCAATAGTTTTGCATAGTTAGGCAGCGATGATAAATGGTCATCATGCTATCGCTCACCCATTCATATGTGCTGTTGATATTATCGGCACCATCCTTTTAAACATGATTGTACTGTTGTGTTCACACGACTACGTATCTGCTGACACCAATATATCACTCTGTCTTTTCGTTTGGATTTCTCCATCCAATCCACAACGCGTTTAGCTTAAAGAACAAAACTGCATGCTTTCACTTTTCCGTCACGTCCCATTTCGTTCGTCTGTGCATTCGGTGTGCCGAACAAACCAGGCTTCTATTATACTATCTATTGTTTTTTGTCTAGTAAGCAGCAAATTTATTGAGTCTCTTTTATGCTCGGAAAGCTCCTACTTTTTTTTCTGGAATACGTGGATTTTTGGCGCGAATTCTAGTGTCGCTATTTTGATAGCCATTCCTTGCACGCCTCTCACACCTGACTTCGATGACATGCTTTTTATGAGGAGCACTCTAATTTCAGGAGCATAATCGATATTGTCCCCGACGAGGGAGCTTGCGAGCTACCCTCATCTATAAGATTTGAGTCGTGGAGAATAATTTACTATGTTCACCTTTTTGAAACTCTCTCCTACAATCTCTACCACTTTTCTCGTCTTACCTTTTCCTACCTTTCTGTCTATCCATTTCCTCTACCTTCCATCAGACTTCTGCACGACTTCGTTTTCAGTCTTTATGTCACACTACACGTGCTATTTTGATTCATTGCTCTTCAAAAAATGATTATCTTTCTTTATTCTAGAATACTTGGCAGCTACTAGATTTCTATCTTTCGTCGGATTAGTTACCGATTTCGTGATATCAATATCATTATTAAAATAATCATTGTTATTATTAATAATCATTATTTGAAAGTAGCAATTTCTTCAGCTCTCGGCTGAAACATATTTTGCTTAGCTGAACATTTTTCCTTAATTTCTTTAAAAATTTTTTAAGCAACAGGAAAATGATAATGCTTCTATAGTCCGGAGTGATTTCGCTGTTTTGTTTGATTGCCTTGGTGTTCTGTGAACATTATGTGATCAATTTGTATTTCATATGGTAATTTTCACAGAAGCTGTGTACTGGAAAAAATAACATCGTTTTTAGTTAGTTGATACTTTCATTCGCTTCCCACTGCATGAATCCTTTTAATCCGTGCTAGTAAGCATCGTTGGGAAACGAGAATGTCAGTAGAAAAAAGACGCAGTTTTAATTTGAGGATCTCTACATGGACTTCCCTCATCGAGTACTTTGCGCAAATGTGTGGGTGCCATCACTCAATGTTTCTTTTCTTCACAGCTTCCAATCATTTGATTCTCATTTTATGTTAAGTCTTTTAACTAATTATCAGCTGCATGTATTAGCTGAATTCTTGTCCTCATTAATGTCAATGTTGGTTGAAACGTCAAGCATACACGCATGGAAGTGCGGCAAGGAAATTGATGTGATGCGGAATAACATCGGCCTATGTGATAAAAGATGTATGCGGAAAAAATAGTAACTAATCACATTACAAAAATACTTGCATGAAATTTTGTTAACATTGGCGAGTAGATTACTTTAGCGGAATATAGAATAGATTCGTTTGTTCTCAGATAAGTTGGAGCTGTGAAGTAGTAGTGGCTAAGCAATGAGGTATGATAGCCTCCTCTAGGTGTTACGTCGCCTTACTTCAGTGTTGTCTTCCCACGCGTAAATCTGTAGTTCAGTATTAGGGATTATTATTACGGATAAGATAGTAACTCAATACAAAGTTGGATCGATAAATGTAAATAGGTCGCTCAGAGTAAGTGGCGACAGAATTCCGTGAAACTAAGTTGATTAATAAACACACAATGGCTTAAGAGTGCTCATACAAATAATGAGCTCAAGAACTCAATTCTTGTGCAAATTCAGCCATATATTCGATAAAAGAAATTTTCTTTTGAAGACAATATGATCATGCAGTTATGTATAGCTCACATGCGTATTACATTGCTGTACTTTTTCCGGTTTAGTGTCGCACTCATTAATTGTTGGCCAAGTTTCGAGGAGTAAAATTTGGAAGTAAAGTAGTAGTGAGCGGTCTATAAGAAGCGGGCACTGTTGAGAAAATCTTAGTGGAAACAGTTTCGCTTGAAAACAATTGTGTACAATGGAAGATATCTCTTAGAAAAACATGATAAGCTTATCAGGAAATTATATCGCTTCTATTTGCCCACCGACTCTCAAGTTTCTATTTGCGTTGTCAAAATGAAAGTTTGGATAAGAAACACATTTAATATTTAGTAATCTGTTCTGCTTGCCTTTTTTACTGGTCGGTTTTTATTTCCTTTCTGTCCTTATTGGCTTTCTATTAAAGTTTTACACTCAGACACCACGTTTCTGGAGTTCCCTACTCTTTATCTCTTAAAAAATCGATAGTAGTTTGTCTATACCTTACTTGTTAAAATGGAGGCGGTTTTTTATATCATGATTCACTGAATTCGCGATTTTCCAATGATCTGATTAGCGCCATAAAGGTGCCATAGCAACGCACATAAGTTTTGCTTCGATCCGGCCGGCGCTTCAGCCGAACCAAGTTCTGTATCTCTTCACGGACAGTAAATTGGTAGCAGGTTTTGTCTGAGAACACGAAAACACTAGCTTAATAACAATCTTAACCGTTTTATTTACTGTCTATTCCTTTTAATAGCAGGGTACATTGCGAAATATAACTTCAATGGTGCTGAGATATTTGCAAAACTCCGAACCGCAGCTGCCTACGGTGAGAAACGAACGCGGCCTTTCCGGGGAGTAATGCGTTCACCACCACACCATGCAGGTCCTCGGTTTGCCTGTCTCTCAGCTAGTTCAATCGATCACTGCCATCAGCAATCACCTGTCAGCGGGATTGATCTGGTAAGCCAAAATCAGCCATGAACCCAGTTAAGCTGCGACTTTAGTAAAAGGAATAGGTAGTAAATAAAATGGTTAAGATTGTGATTATAGCTGAAGGTTCAGCTTAACTGCGTTCATTGACGACTTAGACTACCCAGATCAATCCCACTGACGGGTGTTTGCTGATGGCAGAGATCGATTGAACTAGCTTAAACGCAGGCGAAACGAAGGACCCGCACGGTGTAATATTGAACGCATTACTCCCTGGAAAGGACAATAGCGCGTTCGTTCCCCACCGCAGACACCTGCGGTCCGGAGTTTTGCAAATATCTCACCACCATTTAAGTCATACTAACTTAATAGCTCCCAGGATTGACTTTCTATTAACCTCGGTGCTGGATTATGAAATCATCGTGTTCTTTCTCAGCAATCGCGAGGTTGTTAAACTGCACACGTTTACTTCCATACAATAACACACATACAACACAACCGTAGCCGACGTTTCTGTAGAATCGCCTTCTTCAGAGCTTTTTTCATTTGTCTTCCATAGAGGAAGAATAGCCGCTCAGAGAAGCATATGGTTGACGATTCTGATCAGCGGCTGTTTCTCAGTGGAAGGCACGTAGAAACGGTTCTGAAGAAGATGATTCTGTGGAAGCATCAGCTACGATTGTGTTATATTTGTCTTATTGTATGGAATTAAACGTATGCTGTTTAACAACATCACGATTACTAGACCAAATGCGCTCATTCCTCTATACGACATTTAAGGAACTCGCATGCATGACACATCTCTAAAGGACTAATCAACATCGTAAGCTTTGTCTTTAATAATTTTCTTTGGGCACACATGTATTGTGTGTGATTTTACTGCCTTGAGTAAAGACTCGATTCGTCCTATCTCGTTTCCGCGTTTTGGGCTCCTGTCGATCCAAGTACAAAAAAGCAGTTACTCTTTTTTCTCTTTCATATCGAAGCACCTACCAGGGAACAAAGGTCTCTAGTCTTTAAAGCCTCATCTTTCTCAGGTGAACTCTCAGTTACTTTTCATAGAATTTGACGGTCACAACATGGAGACTAGTCTCAATATGTAACTAGTTATAATCTGTAACATTTCATATATAGTATGATAAATAGGTTTAGAATCCGTCTTATGAGGAAGATTTATGCGTTGTTGGTGTGCACTCTACAGGGCACCTGATAGGTCTATATTCATCATACACTTTATTTCTGGCGTTTGATGTATGTTTATGTTGCCTTCGATGACAATATATAACTGTTAGACTTCTGTAAAGCTGCCCTACTCAGTCACTGCACTAGCTGTTCCGAAATGAAATCTGTCTTATAATCAAAATTGCAGAATGATTCACTGGTGTTATCCTGAGCAATTCATACTTCCATATTTTAGTCATTATTTAATGTTCTTTTTTTAAAGGAAATGATTCGATAGGGATATTTCATATGACTTATAAACAATGGTCGGTGTTTGGTGGGAGCTTGCTACCGGCGGAATAAACTACTCGATTCGGGGCAATGGAGGAGAAGAGTGTATGAGGGTAAGAACGTGCGATCCTCTTCCTGAAACCCAGTTTAACAGCGAAACGTTTACATTGCAGTATCTTCCAACATGGCAGCGGCTGTGTGAGACTGCACTTTTCGTACCAATCGCTGTGTATATCGTTCTTAACACTATGCCAGCATTGAATTGCTCTTTTTCCTCAAGACCTAGGCTGTCTTCTCGCTATGCCGTTCTTACCATTTACAGTCTTATTTTTGGCGTTGAACTCGGCTTCAAGATGATATCGAGGTTAGCAATGCAATGATTTGGTTTTTTGATGCCGATCAGTTGAATTGAGAAGTAATTTAGAACCGGCATTTTTCTGCTGAATCCATGTCACGTTACCACTGCCATGCAACTCGTTCTTTTAACGATGGATGCTAACAATAGGTAATCGATTTAATTTAATATTGCTCTGCATGAATAGCAAATCAGATTTTAATGCAAATTCTTCAGTTATTATCGTTTCCAGGAAGACGTGCTTTCTATTCCGGCTGAACATGTATTTCATGCCTGGAGCCTTTTTTGCTCTTGCATTTCCTGTTCTTAACACAAGGGATGTGAGTTTCTGTGAACATTGTCGAATATAGTGGCTGACTATGTGCGATGGGACAAAAATACTTTTTTAAAGCTTCATGGTGAGGTGTTCATCTACTACTCACAACACATAGCCATTATTCTCGTTCCACTATATCTAATGTATCTCAGAGGCGAGTTTATTTTTGATTCAGCATTGATAGATCAGATTCACGAGTAATAAGAAAAGGTCAGGAACGCGTAGTGCAGCAGTTACAGATGTCCTGTGAATCACACGTAGTTGTTTTGTTGCACTTCGCTCCTTGGAAAAATTAAGCCCACCATTCATTCCTCCCACGGATCTCCCTAATATGAGGGATCCGAGCCAGTTAGTCGCGAGACTACATGGCGCGTCTCCAGGTGGCGTATAGGAGATTAATCGCGGAGCGCCGATTTACCACATACTTTCTCTATTTGAGAGGTGTATTCATGCATAAGTTTGTGAATGCGTTTGCGCTTATGCGAATTCTATTCTACGAGTCAATTCGGCCAAAAGCCTGCAATCAGGTAACAGGGAAGTATATGCGAGGAGTACGAGTCGTTTCCAACAAATAAGCTCCATGTCCACTCTGAGAGAGACTGGAAAGACACCCATGAGTATACCCAATCCCGACGTTTTGAGCCTAGCAAGCTATACGTTGGTAGCAAAAAGCTAAAAACAGTAAAAGAAACGCGCTTCATTCCCCTGACATCGAAAGAGCCCCCAATTTCGCAGCGTTACGTAGGACGAGTACGGAGAGACTGCTAAAATCTCACGGCCGCTTGGTTTTCAAAGAACTATGGTGACGATCTGTACCTAAAATGCACGTACATTTGCATCCGATTCTTCGATAGAAGACTTGCCGAGACCCTTTCAACGCCGTCTATGACACCGGAGAATAACAGTTCCTCGGAACTCGGCGGCGTCGGCGTTCTCATCAATACGAGTTTGTCCATGAACATCGATTCATTCAAACAGCTTACAACCCGAATCGGACATTTATGATTAAGAAGATGTGGATCATTTCCGCTTTTGACAATCTTCGTCGTTTACGCGCCAACATCAAACTACGACGAAGAAGAACTCGAAGCGTTCTATATGGACTTAGAGAAGTTCTACACAGCTGCCCATGTATTCTTCAAGGTCACCACTGGAGATTTCAACGCCAAGATTGGACCAAGAATAACGTCTGAAGAACTTCACATTGGGACCCACGGATTAGAATGGAATAAGCAGTGTGAGCGGCTGTCTGAGTTTATCATGGCGACCAAGACCATCCGTGGTAACTCGCAATTCCACAAGCCCCACCCTCAACGCTGGACGTGGGAGTCTCCCAATAGAGAGTACCATAACGAAATAAACCACATCATAGTAAACGGAAGGTTTTGTCTAACCGATGTCGCTGTTGTCCTAAAATTCTACACAGGAACAGACCATCGTCTCCTTCGTGCAAGATTCTATTTCTCGCGAAAGAGCGAAAAAGTCGCTAAATTCCAAAACCGAAGTCTCAGAACCACCGTAAACTGGGACTTATTCAATTCACTAGACGGCTGTTGGGAAAATGCCGTTGTCGATAACATCGAAGAAGAATACGATCGGCTCATTCAACATCTTTACGTTAGCGCTCTGAAAGCTAAGAGTTCGAAAGTCACCAAGAGACGTTTGCCTCCAGAAACACTCGAGCTGATACGCCAGCGCGGAATCGCACGATCCAGAGGCAACCGCGAAATAACGTCCGAACTTGCAAAACAATCCAGATAGGCGATAAAAGAAGATGTTAAAGAGAGAAGGGCAGAAGTTATGGTCAAAGCTGCAGAGTATGGGAAATACAGTCGCAAAGCCCACTAAAGCTTCGCCATTTCCAAGACCAAGATGATAGCACTCCGACGCCTAGGCGGAGCACTAACAGCGTCCAGAAAGGCAATGAAAAAAATAACTCACCAATACTACTCAGATCCCTTCGACAACATCGTCCACCTTTCGTCATTATGAAATAAAGGAGGATGGATATATTATACCACCGGTTCCTCCTTCCTAAATCGGACATGCTATTTCGTCGGTGAAAAATCGAACAGCACCAGGTCCGGACAGGATAAGACCAAAACACCTGAAGAACCTTCCGCCAGTCCTCGTAAACACACTGGCTCGGCTGTTCACACTCTACCTGTCTGAATGCAAGGTCTCTAGTCAATGGAAGACCACCGAGATAGTGCTGTTGTTCAAGAAGGGTGACCTCTACGATATCGGGAACTATAGTCCTATCTGCTCGCTGTCTGCCGCCTACAAACTTTTTATAAACAGGGTGGGCAGAACACTGGACGAAGGGCAGCCGTGTGAGCAAGCAGGGTTTCGAAAAGGTTTTAGTGCGATGGACCACATCCACGCGGTAACAAGGCTCCTTGAAGTATCGCGAGAGTACAAAAGACCGTTCTGTCTCACTTTCATCGATTTACAGAAGGCCTTTGATTCATTTGGGATAGAAGCAATCTTGGAAGCCCTTGATAGCCATGTAGTCCCTACTCAGTACATAAAGATTCTTCGTGAGCTGTATAAAAATTTCGCAACCAAAGTATCACTATTCTACAACCATATTAACATTGTTCAAAAGTCACTCATCGTTATTGAATGCGCAGTCGAGAGGGCGATGCTAGAGGTATCGCATTTCACACAAGTAAAAGATAGGATCCGAACCTCCGGTCTGCGTCAACGATCAAAAATCAGGGATGCCGTTCTGTTCGCCAAACAGTCGAAGATAAGGTGAGCAGGACACGTAATGCGTATGAGTGGAAAACGTTGAACAAGAGTCAGTAGTGACTGGATTCCTCGGGATGTCAAACCTACTGCAGGAAGACCACCGACCCGATGGGCAGAGTTCTTGAAAAAGATCCATAAAGAAAGATATGATGCTCAACGTGTTCCTAAGGTGAGGAAGGAGAATCCACCGGGCTACTCTTGCATGCGACAGGGGAAATGGAAGATTTACTGGCGCCCGCTCGAGTTACTCAACGAGACTGCAGGTGGTATGTGATTCATTCCTCGAAGATTAGAAAGCCGGCATCGTACTAGTTTAAGAGGAGGGAAATAGTGATCTGATGCATTATCCACCTGTATCACTTGTAGGACCGTTGATCGTCGAGTGTCTCAAGTAGGCTCCAGTAAACTTTCCATTTTTCCCGTGGCTTCAAGAGTATTCCGGTGGGTTCTACTCGTTTTTGGGGGATTAAATCGTCCTTCCAATGTTTTGGTGAAGAACCTGACAGTTGGGTCAGTGGTCTTCTTGCCGTGAGTTTGATTTTCCGACGAATCCCGTAGCTAACGGCCTTTTTTCTTTGGTTGTCATCCATACGCATTACATCTCCGCACTGGCTTATCGTCGAGAGTTTGGGATATAACACGGCGTCTTTGATTTTTGATCGTCGACATAGCTCCTCGGACCCCTATCTCACTTCAAGGATATGCGATACTCCTACTATCGTCCTTTCGAATGCGCGTTCAATAACGCTGAGTGATTTTCATCTTGTTTGCGCAGCGACCAGATTTCGGACGCATACGTTAGGGCAGGAAGCACCCTTAAGTCAAAAAGGTGGACACAGAGTCGGTTATTCCTTGTCCTCTTCCTACATCCTCGATGCTCTTAAAATCTACCCAAGCAGCTCGCTTCTTCCTGCTCAACTTTGGAGCTAAGTCGTTCATCATGTTAATTTCCCGAACTAGATAGATACAATTGGCGCATTCGAAGATATTCGTTCCGTTGAGTGTGAATGGGGCATGCGAAACCAATCTGCTCTTTATGAACATCGTTTTTGTGAGATTTAGTCGAAAACCAATCTTTCCACAGGCGTTATCAAAAGTCGGCAAAAATTCGTTCCGCTTGGCTAATGTTTAGTGTTATAAGAACGTTGCCATCAACAAAGTGAATGTGGTATTCTTCGTATTTTTGTTGAGCAAAGGCGAGGTGTTATTATTCTTTATTCACGATTAAGCTGACGTTTCGGCGGATTTCGCCTTCCTCAGAGCCTGGAAAGGTCAAGTTGATAGCAATCTACTCGGCCAGACGCCTCCATAACCAAACAAAGAAACTCTAAACTAAGATTTCAATCACTTTGAACACAGCTTTGCACACTCACCGCTTCCTATGAGGTTTCCACTAAGTATGTCACGTAGAGATCAACCGCACAGAAATCACGTGGAAGTATAATGTGCCCCTCACATCAGAAAAGCAGTTTTATATCCTGCCATATATCACGCGTGATAATGAGGCATTCCTCCCTGCGGTTCATTTTCGGATTTCTGGAATTAATCCAGAGTGCCTCGAGAGTTTTTCGCGCCTGTGTTCTTGATTCGCGTGCGAGGATCGTGACACATACTTCGAAGTCGTCTCCGTTATGTCTCTGGGTCCTATGCGTGCCTAGCGGGGTATTTGGTCTATTTTTGCCGGCTAGGTATTCTTTCATGCGGACACGGAGGCGTCTACCCGTTTCGCCAATGTATTCGTCACCACACGTCTTACAGGAGATCAGATAAACTATTCCCGAGCTCATTCAATCACCGTCTCTACCACTGAGGCAAATTATGCAATTTTGAGTTGCACACAGACGGTCATATAAGCGGTTACGAACTAGCTGGCGCTTAAGATTACTCGGTGGTATTTCAACTACGCTCACCGAATTCTCTAAGCCCGCCCTTCTTAAGCAGCGTTTTATAGCTGTACTTATATCATTTGAGATGAAGGGTAGTATAAACGGGACCATTTTATCGGTAGAGTTGTCGTTTGGAGGCCTACGATTTTCTCTACACCTATTCTGAGCTACAGCTTCGCAGCCATTAGAAATGGCTATTTGCCGTGCCAAGTTCCGGGACTCCTCTCTCTGCACTCTTCCCGTGCACACTTTGGTTGCCGTTCGAAACATGTTTCTTATAAGCGCCCTTTTCGTGTGAGAGGGGTGAGAGGAGAGGTAATGAACCAAGATATTTTTACTACTTGGCTTTCGGTACCATTTTGTAATGTAGCCATTTTCTGATAGGTGAATGTGTACGTTCATAAATGGAAGCCATTTTTCTTTCGGCTTTCCTCGGGTGAACTTGATATACTCTGACTGTGCGTTTAACAATTCGAAGCATTTGTCCAATTCCTCTTGTGTTGAGCAAAGGACAAGGCAGTCGTCTACATACCTACAGTAGAGTAGCGGCCCGAGATCAGT